CGCGTGCCGGGAAAAGAAAGGGAGAGCGAGAGAAAGAGGCGAGCATTCGTGCAAGGCCAAAGGCAGCCCATTCCGTCGTGTGTACCAGCATCAGGTCCAGGCCCACTTCCATCAGAGTGGCCCGGCAGTCGGGCGCCGCGAGCACCTGCTTGAAGATGGCTCTCAGGCGGTCCGCCATGCCTGGGGTTAGGCCGATGCCGGCGGCGGCCCGGCGGACCTCCCGCGAGAAGGCCGCCGCCAGGCGCCCGGCCAAGCGCGCACAGCCCTCGCCCGAGAGCCGGGTCCCCCCGGCACTGCCCCCATGCTGGTGGGCAGGGGCAGCCGAGGAGGCAGCAGGCTGGATGCACGAGGGAAAGCGCCCGAGGCAGGTGGCCTCCGCCCGGGGAAGCCCCTGCAGGTAGACCCCGGTCGCGCGGAGAACCTCCGGCGCGATGGCCCGCTCAAAGAGCCCGAGCCCCGCCAGGACGGCGGTCAGGCGCCGGCACACGGACCGAAGGTCCGCCAAATCGGCATCCGCCATCACCACATGGTCCGAGCCCCCGGCCGAGGCAGGCAGTGGCCCGGGGAAGACCACCTCAAAGGGATACCCCTCGGGCCCCCCGTCCGGCGGCAGGAGAAAGGACCCGGCTGTGCCCTCGACGTGGAGTCGGAAGTGCAGGCGCTCGGCGTCCCGGAGCCGGTTCAGCGCATGCCCCAGTCCCCGGGCCAGGCCGGCACAAAGGTCCGCTCGGGCCAGGAGAATGTCACTGGCGGCAGGCAGCCAGGCAGGGCAGGGGGCGCAGAGGGGCGACGAGGGGCGACGAGGGGGGGGGGGGGGGGGGGGGGGGTCCAGGCGGCTCGTTGCCTCTTTTTCGAGTGCTCATGTGTGTGTGGGGCATGTGTGTGTGTGTGTGTGTGTGTGTGTGCGTGTGGGAGGGGTGTGGGTGTGTGGGTGTGTGTGCGTGTGGGGGGCATGTGGGGGGGGGGGGGGGGGGCGGGGATGCACAGGGCGTGGGAGCGGTTAGAAGGGCGCCGCGGGTGCGGTGGCCGGGGGAGGGGCGGCATTGTGCCGGGGGACGCACCGACAATGGTGTTGAGGATGGTGGCGTCTGCGGGCCGTTCAGGTGAGCCGGTCGGGGCGCGAGGATGTCGGGGTGTCAGCATATGT